ACTCCAGTGGCACAGGCTGTCAAAGCCAAAATCAACTATTGGGATTGCATCAAATTGAGAAGTTTCTGTACTGCAAAAGATACAGTCAGGAAAGTGAAGAGGCAACTGACAGAATGGGAAAAAATATTTGCAAACTATGCAACAGATAAAGGGTTGATAACCAGAATCTACACAGAGATCAAGAAACTCCACAACATCAAAACAAACAACCCACTTAAGAGATGGGCCAAGGACCTCAATAGACATTTTTCAAAAGAGAAAATCCAAAGGGCCAACAGACACATGAAAAAATGTTCAAGATCACTAGCAATCAGGGAAATGCAAATCAAAACCACAATGAGGTTTCACCTCACCCCGGTTAGAATGGCTCACATTCAGAAATCTACCAACAATAAATGCTGGAGAGGATGTGGGGAAAAAGGGACACTAACCCACTGTTGGTGGGAATGCAAACTGGTCAAGCCACTATGGAAGTCAGTCTGGAGATTCCTCAGAAACCTGAATATAACCCTACCATACAACCCAGCCATCCCACTCCTGGGAATTTACCCGAAGGAAATTAAATTGGCAAACAAAAAGCTGTCTGCACATTAATGTTTATTGAAGCTCCATTCACAATAGCTAAGACCTGGAACCAACCCAAATACCCATAAACAGTAGACTGGATAAAGAAATTATGGGACATGTACTCTATAGAATACTACACAGCAGTCAAAAACAATGAAACCCGGTCATTTGCAACAAGATGGAGGAATCTGGAAAACATTATGCTGAGTGAATTAAGCCAGTCCCAAAGGGACAAATATCATATATTCTCCCTGTTCGGTGACAACTAACTGAGCACCAAAGGGGAAACCTGTTGAAGTGAAATGGACACTATGAGAAACAGTGACTTGATCAGCTCTTGTCCTGATGGTTGATGTACAATTTAATATTTTATCCCTTTTAGTGTTTTTTTTCTACTTAATACTATTGGTTAAACTCTGTAATTAATGCACAATTATTCTTAGGTGTTTAAATTTTACTGAAAAGTGATCCCTGTTAAATATAAGAGTGGGAATAAGAGAGGGTGCAGAGGTACAATTTGGGACATGCTCAAGCTGACTTGCCCCAAATGGTGGAGTTAGAGACATACCAGGGGATTCCAATACAATCCCTTAAAGGTTGCATGGACCAATGCCATCTCACTAGTCAAAGTGATCAGTTTCAGTTCACAATTGATCATATTGATAGGTCTAAGAGTCAAAGGGATCACATAAACAAGACTAGTGTCTCCTAATACTAACTGATAGAATAAAAAACGGAGAGAATGATCCAACATGGGAAGCGAGATACACAGTAGACTCATAGAATGGCAGATGTCCTAAATAGCACTCTGGTCTCAGAATTAGCCCTTAAGGCATTCCGATCTGGCTGAAGAGCCCATGAGAGTATTTTAGGCATGGAAAGCCAAGACACTCTGGCAAAAAAAAAAAAAAAAAACACACAACTAAATGAAAGATCTCTGCGAGTGAGATCCCAGTAGAAAGAACGGGCCATCAAAGAAGGAGGTACCTTTCTCTGAAGGGAAGATGAACTTCCACTTTGACTATGACCTTGTCTAAATAATATCGAAGTTGGCAAACTCAAAAGGCTTCCATAGCCTTGGCAGCTCATGACAAGAGCCTAGGGTGATTACTGATGCCATAAACAAGAGTGTCAATTTGTTAGGTCAACAACAGGAGTCACTGTGCACGTACTCCTCATGTAGGATCTCTGTCCTTAATGTGTTGTTCAATGTGAATTAATGCTATAACCAGTACTCAAACAGTATTTTACACTTTATGTTCTGTGTGTGTGCAAACTGCTGAAATCTTGACTTAATATATGCTAAATTGATCTTCTGTATATAAAGAGAATTGAAAATGAATCTTGATGTGAATGGAATGGGAGAGGGAGTGGGAGATTGGAGGGTTGCGGGTGGGAGGGAAGTTATGGGGGGAAAAAGCCATTGTAATCCATAAGCTGTACTTTTAAAATTTATATTCATCAAATAAAATTTAAAACAAAAACAAATTGTATGCGAAACTGCGTGACATCTCAATACATATGTACAATGTGTAATGATCAGATCTGGCTCATGGGCCTATCTGTCTTCTCAGATAGATATTCTCTGCATTGGAATATAAAAATTCCTCTCTACTAGCCATGTTTAAATATTCAATTAATTGTTGACTGAGAAACTAAAATTTTTCTGTACGACTGCTGAATTTTGAATCCCAGCTTTTACCCTTAGGCCAATAACTTCTCTGAGTATGTTCTTCTTAAAAATGATAAATGTTGGGGCTGGCGCTGTGGCTCACTTGGTTAAATCCTCCGCCTGCAGTGCCGGCATCCCATATGGATGCCGGGTTCTAGTCCTGGTTGCTCCTCTTCCAGTCCAGCTCCCTGCTATGGCCCAGGAAGGCAGCGGAGGATGGCCCATGTGCTTGAGCCCCTGCACCTGCATGGGAGACCAGGAGGAAGAACTTGGTTCCTGGCTTTGGATCAGCACAGCGCCTTCTGTAGTGGCCATTTGGGGAGTGAATCAATGGAAGGAAGACCTTTCTCTCTGTTTCTCTCTTTCTCACTGTCTATAAACTACCTGTCAAATAAAAAAAAAATGATAAATGTTACGACTTGCTCTGCAAATGAGCCAACAGAGTAAACTAGCCTGAAAGGTTAGGTTTATAGCAGCAAGGGGAGAAAAGAAGTAGATATCAGGAAGCAGCATTGGCATCTCAAGTTTATAAAGTATGCTCCTTTATACAATATGATCAGTTGTTGTAATTCTATATTATTAGAAGCATTTCTTCATTTCACAAAACTTTTGCTTCAGTATAGTCTAAATTTTCATGAGTGAGATGCTATCCAACTAAATGAAAAAGAGTATTAAACCTGATTATTAATTTTTCTGTGAAAAATCAAATCACATGGAACAGTGTAAAAACAAAACATCTAATCATAAAATCAGTAAGACTACAATAGCAATATTACAGCAGAGAGCATACTTTGGTATAACAGAAAATAATATAATGTCCATAATCTCATGGCTCAAATACCAAATCTTCCAGGCCATTAGTTGTACTTCCTAGGAAAACCTCCTTGACTTCTTGGAGCCCAGTTCTCTCATTTGAAAAGTGAAATAATAATGCTACATTTCAGGATTGCCAAGCAGTATAAATGAGATGCAAAGGATCAAGACCTCAAGCAGAAGCAGTCTACCTTGTTCTGTCCTATAAAAATTTGCATTTAACTTCTCTCAGAAAAAGCTTGATACTATCGAGCTCAAAAGGTTAACATGACCAAGGGCAAGATCTGAAATTAAATACTGTCTCCAAATGCTTCAATTAATATGCCCCTGAATATAACACTATATGGATTTTATTCTAAAGAAAAGAAAATGGTTCAGTTTAGGTGAATTTTTGCCAAGAAGCATATTTCATAATTAAAGTAATCCAAATCAATTCATCTAAAAACTAAATTTAAAACATACCATACAAAAAGTTTTCAATTAAGGAGGAAATCAATAATCACTGATGTGATGATTCATCAACCCTAATCCTTGAAAATATAATCATGGTATCTACACTACAGATTATATGTTGTCAAGGACAAGTAACAAAAGTAAGTATTATGATATGACACTAAATTCCCAATATTTTAACTTCTTAGAAATCCAATTGCTATGGGGGGGGGGCAACATACTGATTGAAAACTTCATAGATAGTGTGAAAGTGGTAAGGGAAATGTTTTTGAGAAAGAAAGAAGAAAGTCAATAAGAAAATGCTCAGAAAAGTGCAACAACTGTTCTGAGTGCAAATTCTGATGCCACTGAAACCAAGCATTAGGCAGGCCTATCAGATGTGACTGTACTGAAAGAGGACAATATCCCTCTGGCTTATAAAATGAAGGAGCTTCTTTTTCTTCCCTTTGAGGCACTTTGTTTGTATGTGTATATTCCATTACAAGAAAAGAACTGCAGGATTTTCCTTCCTGTGTGTTCTCACTTGTTTCTCTTTGATTGCCAGTGCCAGCTGAGGTTGTCAGTACCATGAAACCAAAGTGAAGAAACAGGAGCAAATTATATTTCCATTTTTCTACAACTGTGAATTGCACAGCACATCTGGGACTGATCACTCCACACTTGTTTAACTTGCCTGTGAGGTTCACAATTTTCCCAGCTCTTGGTCATCAATGATTTCAAGTTTATCAATGTAAGTCTTGATTATCACAGTTAGAAACCAGACAAGATTTTGTGGCATGCCTAATATAAGAACCTGGGTGTCTGCCTCTCTTTTTGGCACTGTTTATGTTTTTAAAAGCATGAGGCAGGATATTTATGTGCATGATTACAGCAGCACATAAAAAAGTAATTGCAGAAACAGCTAATGAAGGATAGGATTCTTAAAGTATCAAAAATGTTTCAATTACTTCATTAAGTACCATTATTCTGAGGAACAAGAACAGGCTGTGCAAATTAACACATGCTGCACACACACATACACACACACACATACACACATTCCAGTGGAAGTTCAAGGTAGTGCAGACGAAAAGGAAACCATGTAACTTTTTTATATTAAGACTTAACACGGGGTAAACAGTAAATATTATTTAGAATAAAAATTTCATCCTGCCACTTAATTTTTTCAGTTCCCTTGTTCATTTTATTAAAATTATAATTAAGAGGGGAAAGAAACCTAAGAGCTGGCATTTACTCTTTTGGTTAAAACGCACATGTCCTTATACAGGAGTACCTGGCTCCAACTCCTAGCTTCAGTTGCTGACTCTAGCTTCTCACTAACGCAGATCCTAAGAGGGAGCAGTGATAGCTCAAATAATTGGGTTCCTCCCATCCATAAGGGAGAGCTGGATTGAGTACCCCTCTCCTGGTTCCAGCCCTTGTCAAACTCCAGCCACTGTGGACCTTTGGGGAATGAACCAGAAGATGGACTCTCTCTCATTCACTACCTCACAAATAAATAGTAAACATTAAAGAAAAATTTACCTGAATTTTTTAGTGCTATTGCACCTGTTGCTGTTGATGCCACTTGTGTAATCAAAACACCATAGTCAAACCTTCTATGCTTGCTGATCTAACAAAACAGAGAACAGAAATCAGAAGAAAATACGGTATGCTGATATTTTATATATGTTATATACATAACATTATTAGAACTCTTAAATGATTAAAATACTACACAATCCTTTAAGATGATAACAGCAGCAAAAACAGACTCAGAAACTTTAACAATCAATGAGTCTGTACTATCTTATTTCAAATCCGAGATCTGATCCCAGATCTCAAACTCAGTAGCAAAGTCACTCACCTCTCTAGTCCAAAGTATCTTCATACACAGAATAAGAAATCTGGACAGATGAAGACTAAGATTTCCTCCAACTCTAAATTCCACTATCCTATTGTTATTTCTTACATTGGTTCATCATTAATAAATTTACTTAATAACAAATATGTGTGGACTAATAGATTCCTAGCTTAACTTTCAAGCAATCAAATAACCTTAAATACAACAATTTCTTCTTTAAAAGGAAAACACTTTTAGATAGAAGTTGATCCTTGTTTCTAATAAATAGTATTTATGTGCATGCATATGCACACACACACAAACACACAGATACACATTCATATACACACAAAGAAAGCTTATTATCAATATACTGATTCTAAAACTATAGATATTCTTAAATAAGTTGGTATTTACTAAAAGTATTATAAACACATTCAGAGTAAATAAAGAATATATCAGCATAAATGAGAATAAGGAAATAACAAAATTATATCATAAAATACTCTTCCTTTTCAGACTATGGCTAAAGTTATGTGGGCTTATTAAAAGAGTTAAGAATTTTTTAATTATATCTTAAAAACATTTCCTTTAAAGGGTTTTAATCTCAAAATTTTTAAATATAAAGTATATGCTCAGATTTCCTGGCAAAATAAACTAAAAAAATTCAAGTTTATTTCTCCAATTTTCTTTAGTTCATTTCTTTATAAATTTGCTTTCCTTTTATGTTTTTATTAGCCATATATTCCATTTTCCATAATATATAATCTTTTGTTCTGAAGGGAGATGGCATAAAAGTACAGCAAGATAAACGTCTGTTCTCTAACTTGCCTTCCTCCACAACTTCAAAAGCACCTTACTTATCAATCACTACCAATGGCCCTGCTGATTCAGATATTAGTAGCCAGAGGGGTTGCCAAATTCACAGTAACTACTGAAAAGAGGCAGAGAAAATCATCAAAGAAGTTAGATATGTTTTACTAAGCAAGATTTAGTTTTTGTAGACAGTCAAGACAAGAAACATGAAATCCAAGTTCTAGTCTTACTGCATTCAGTAACTGGCTTGCTGCTAAAACAGATCATTTCACCAACTGGATATTTGCATTCTCTTATGCAAAATGAAAGAAATGGCCTAGAAACAGGGAGGAAGGCAGATTAGGGGACAACATATTGTGCTAGGCTAGGAATAAACAGTTAAAAAAAGGTGTAGGAAGTACACTCTCAGCGAGAAGTAGAGGGTAAACCTGACTGGAAATCCTACAAGATGAAGAGGAATACAGTGGGCCTATGTGGAAGGTGTGAATGTGAAGCACAAACAACTGCAGCAGCCAAGAGCCAGAGAGGGCACCAGCTTGGAGACAAAGGTGAGATCTGTGGGGAGCAACTCGGACTAGACTAAGTTACTGAAATTAAGACTTATTCTATGCATCTGCTCTCCCACAATATGGCGCTGAGAAGGGAGTAAACAACTTCTACGCAGCTGCCTCTCGCCAACTTGAGCGATGACCTGCAGGAGCTGATCCTGCTCTTGATTGGAGGAGAGCAGCGTACTCGGCGTGTGGGTAGCAGAGTTGGGATTGGCGGAAGAGGACTATAAAGGAGGAGAGAGACAACATGCACCAGGAACATCTAAGGGGAACATCTATCTGAAGGAACACCTGAGCAGCCCCCGAGAGAGCCGGCCGGCGGTGTGCCGCTCCCCTGCGGAAGTGGGGAAAGTGGCCAGGGGGAACCGCCCTTCCACGGAGGTGGAAGGACGGCAGCCAACCCGGGAAGAACCAGCAGCAAACCCGGGAAGGGCCGAGCAGACAAAAGAACAACGCAGGGTCCTGTGTTGTTCCTCCGCGAATGGGGGAGCGACAAGATCGAATTGCAGCAACCTGTGGTAATATAGCCCTAGGCTGAGTTTAGCATGTGTCTGGATGGGAGCCATGGGGACAGCTGGTTGGGTAACATGTGGACCGAGTGGAAGTAGAGTGGGCAAAAATTTATCTTCCCACAACTTCCCCACAACAGCACCCACTGCCTGGCTCAGAAAGAGCAAGTGCCAGTTTGGGTTTGGGCAGGAGCTGCGAAAGACTGCACACACACAGCAACTGGCTGAGACACAACACCATCTTCTCAACAGCACTGGTGACAATCGCAGATAAAGAGCCACATTTGGCCAATGGCTCTTGTGTGTATGTGTGATCCAGAGATTCTAGCAGAAGGAACAATCCACAGTCCCCACTGATTTTGAGGCTGGCTGGGAGGTGGCTGGACTACCACCTAGGATGCTGAGGCAATCATGGGCTCCCAGGATAAAGACACCTACATGGAGCTGTCTTAGGAACATATGCCTCTCTGTTGACTGGACAGGCAGGCAGGACAGAGAGAAACCTCTGCACCTAGCAACTGTGGGAGGAGAATTGTGAGCTGAGACCATGGGAACTCGGTAGTTACATGAGAAAGTGCAGAGTATAGCTGGGTCTCTGGGAAAGCACTAGGTGCAGCTCCACATGTTTGGAGGTCCTTGGTCATCTAGAGCAAGTAACTGCAGTGGGACTTCTTCTCACAGTCAGGACCACACAGATCATGTGTGTGGTTTATATGGTGGCATAGAACATACTGGGGGCTAACACATGGGCATTAAGATCTACCATGTCCAAACTAGGTGTTATCCTGGATACTCACCAGACTCTGCAGCACCTACCAGAGCTTCCTGGCCTCACCCACTAACACAACTTGATATTCACTAAAGTGCAGGAATACCACTAGGCCACAGTGGTATAGCTCAAAGATAAAAGCAATCACAGAAAGAACACAAAAATCAACTCTACAAATACCCAAAGACAAAACACAGAAATTCAAGAATCAAGAATAAGGAAGACATCATGACCTCCCCAGAGGAATACAACATTTCATTAGAATGTAAAAATGAAGAGATTGAGGAAATGCTGGAATGAGAATTCAAAAGTTTAATCATAGGATGACTCAAAAGCAACCAGATGCAAATCTATGCACTAAAAAAAAACCATACATGATATGAATGAAAAATTTCCCCCATGAAATTGAGATTTTAAAGAGAAATCAAAATAAAATACTAGACATGAGAAATTCAATAGATGAAATCTTACAGTCAAACCAAGGGAGGGGGGAAACAAAAAGAAAACAGAAAACTTAAAAACAGTGTTGGAGATATATGGGATACTATTAAATGACCCAATATAGGGATCTCAGGAGTTCCTGAAGGTGTGGAAGCAAAGAAAGGACTAGAAGGGCTATTCAGTAAAATAATTATAGAAAACTTCCCCAATTTGGAAAAAGGAAGGGACATCCAAGTACAGGAAGAACACAGAACTCATAATAGACATGACCAGAAAAGACCTTCACCACAACAAATTTTAGTCAAATTTTCCACAGTAAAACATAAAATATTATAAAATGTACACAAGAGAAACACCAGATTACTTTCAGAGGATCCCCAATTAGACTCACAGCTGACTTCTTATTAGACACACTATAGGCTAGAAGGGAAAGGGAACACAGGGTCCAAGTCTTGAGGAAAAAAAAAAACTGTCAACCCAGAATATTGTAACTTGAAAAGCTCTCATTATGAAATAAAGTGAAATAAAGACCTTCCATAACAAACAGAAATTGAAAAAATTTGTCTGCATTCACTAGCCTTACAAAAGATGCTTAAGGATGTGCTACACACAGAAACACAGAAAGATAGCCATCATTATGAAAGATTGTGAAGGCAGAAAATCCCTCAATAAAGGTACAAAAGAAATCCAAAACAAACAATAGGAATATTTATGTAAAAATGTCAGGGCTAAGTCATTACTTATTAATAGAAACCTTGAATGTAAAGGGCCTCAACTCTCCAGCTAAAAGATACACAGTCTGGCTGAATGGATTCACAAACAAGGCTCATCTATTTGCTGCCTACAAGAAACATACCTCATCAAAAAAAAAAAAAAAAAAAAAGATAAACACAGACTGAAAGTGAAAGGACGAAAAAAAAAATATTCCATGCTAAAATAAAGCAAAAAAGGTCAGGTGTTGCCATCCTAAAATCAGGCAAAATAGATTTGAACATAAAAGTTGTTAAAAGAGATTTAAAAAGGGCACTATGTAATGGTTAAGGGATCAATTCAACAGGAAGATGTGACTATAATAAATGTATTTGAACCCAATTACAGGGCGCATGGCTATTTAAAAAATGTTAATGGATCTAAAGAGAGACATAGAACCCAATACAATAGTAACAGGGGACTTTAACACCCCACTTTCATCAATGGACAGATCAACTAGACAGGAAATCAACAAAGAAAAGACAGAGCTAATGGACACTATGGACCAAGCTCATATCTACAGAACATTTCACCCCACAGTTGCAGAATACACATTCATATTATCAGTGCATGAAACTTTCTTTAGGATAGACCATATGCTAGGCAATGAAGCAAATCTCAGCAAATTTAAAAAATCTCCTCTGAAAACAATGGAATGAAGGTGGAAATCAACAACTCAAGATTCTCTATAACATATATAAACACATGGAAACTGAATATGTTCCTGAATGAACAATAGGTCATAGAAGAAATCAAGAGTAATCAAAAAATTTCTGGAAGCAAATGAAAAGGACAATATACCATATCAAAAACTTATGGGATACAGCAAAGCAGTATTAAGAGGTAAGTTTATAGCAATCGGCAGGCACATGAAGAAATGGGAAAGGTACCCAAAAAATGACCCATCAATGCATCTCAAGAGCCTGGAAAAAAAAACCAAATCCAAATTAATAG